ATTTCCAGGCTATCACAGATTTAGAAATCTTAAATGCAGTGCTCCAGATTTTCACTGATTATCTCATTATCAGTGTTTTTGGTTGGAAAGCCTTTGCATATCTATTAGGCGGGTTTTTCATTGGATCGAGTATTCATCCACTTGCTAGTCATTATATTTCTGATCACTATGTTTTCAACCCTGGACAAGAAACATACAGGTAAGTCAAATAAATGCAAAAATTTTTGCGGTAGAATGGAAAAAGCAGTGTGGGAATTTTCAATAGTAATTACTAATTATCGCATTTATATAGGTAAAGGGATTCTTGTTTCATTTGCTTAAATATTTGAATTTTTTCAAGTTTTTTCTAAGATCTTTTGAAATATTTGAGCGATGTTTTTCACTTTTTGCAGTCCTTTCTCAGTTTTTGTTCTCTTGGACTTCTCTTACCTTTCATCGATACCTATTTCGTGTATCTCTTGTTCATAAGTTAGTATATGTTAAATAGATGCTATTTAGTACTCTATTCTTTAGTTATTATGGACCGATAAACTTAGTAACATTCAACGTTGGTTACCATATCGAACATCATGATTTTCCATATGTATGTGGCAGTAACCTTCCAAAGGTTCGTTGTTCGTTATTTTCATTGTATTATGTTTTCGAATCGAAAACAGGTCACTTATCACGATGTTCATTTCATTATCAGTAGCAGTTCCTTTTTTTTCGACTACATTCATGAATTTTCAGATTAGATCCATAGCTCTGGAATATTACAAAGATTACATGGTGCATTCAAGTTGGATTTACATGATGTACGATTTCATCACAAATCCAAAAATGTCATTACATTGTCGAACAAAGCGAAAGACGGCGAAACCAACAGATATACATTTCTTCGACATCGGACCAAACAGTTCCTGTTTCATCTATAAGTTCTTCACATCTGTAAGCTGGTTTTTATTAAAATATGGTTATATATAGGTTGTTTTCAAGAACTTGAAATTTTTGTTCTGGAGTCAATTTGCATATTCTATCATCATTCATATTTAACATCGACGCAATAATTGATATTAAAATTTGTCGTGTAGGATATATTAAAGAGATCATTAAAGAAACGCACGCTGTGTATTATGCAATTATTCGGCACATATGATAAAGTCAAACTATCTCTAGGAAAAAGTATTATATCAAATGACGATATAGGGATATTCTATTAACTTAAAGTTTTATTTTGTCCATGTTATCATCGTTATCTTAATGTGCATATAAAAATTGATCTATTTTCAGTTATTGAGGGGAAGACTGTTTGTCTTCAAGGATAAAACAGGCTGATTTTCGTTGTACCAGGAATTTGTGTCGGTTTATTAGTAATTTATCGCCATTATTTTTTTATTCAATTTTCTTACAGCTAATCCTGCGTACATATAATGTTTTTTTTTTTTCTATAAGGCACTGTGAGTTTTATCAATTTTATCTCGTGCAAATTTTTCTTATCTCATATTTATAACTAAGGTTTTCTATGTTATGGGAAAAATCATTTATTAACTTATGAAATTTCGTCTTTAAAAACTGCAATAATCACGCTTTATTGTATGAATGTGATATTCATCTGTTTCTCATCTTATATTGCATTCCAGTCTTGCATTAGAAATTTAGTAGTTCACAGAAATAGAATCCAAGAAAGGAGAGAGAAGGAAGCTAAAAGGTTTTCGGAAAACTGCACTGCTAAAAGCAGTCATAATGTAGATAGTTCAATATTAAAAAATGGCACTCATTCTAACTTTCGTCTGTTCTATGGGAAACAAAGTAGAAATTTTTTTGAAATAGCGAAAAAAAAGATTAGAAAAACAAAAAAACGAAAAATAAGGGTATATGGTTCTAGGTTTGACAGGTAGAGATCATTTGAAATCAATTTCTAAAATTGAAATCAATCTATATGTATATATAAAGGCTCGAAAGTTGAATTTTGAGGCGAGCTATAATGGTGGAGAGAAAATGCTGGAAACATTTCCGGAAAACTGCAATTTCCGGTAATTTTTTTTGCTTCCTCGATAAATTGGTTTCGCATATTATTTAGTTAATTGAATTTGGTTAAAGTTTTTTTTTCTTTTTTTATTTGCTTTGTGGCTTGCTATCAGTGACTTGTTTCCTTGGTTACTCTATTACGTTTTCCTACTCATACCTTGATGTCTGGAACTGTTCTCATCATCACATTAAAAGTGAGTGGAAATTGCAGCCTCATTTAAACTCATTTTTTCAGATCTTTTTTATTTTATTTTAATATTTTCTTTTTTTCTTCATCGGTTATAAAACATTTTATTGTCGGTGATTAATGATTCAAATTTTTTCAATAAAATTTTGTTATTTGAATTGTTTTACTGTAAATGAAAACTTTAAAGGAATGTTCAAATACTTTAAAATCATAAGCATAAAGTGTACATATGTATGCAAATGCGGATATAAAGCATACATGTAAATATGGTTAATCGATTAAGATTCGTAATATTAATTACTGCGTACCAATGCTCATACTACAAGAGTCAATGTTATTATCATCCTATTTATCCATCTGTCAGTATGTCAGAAGTTTGATTGTTTTGCTACGTTGGAAAGCATAATTTCCGTCTATTGGCAGTAAATGAAAAATATTTTCATTAATAATTGAAATAATTCTTATTGAAGCATAACGCAAAAGGTCGGATATTGCTTGGAGAAAACAATGATTATTCTTTAATATATCAAATAATTTAAACCATTAATTTAAACGATTGGTCGGTTGATATTTAAAATTTTTAAATTTATTACAGAAGGCAAAATTCCTCAATTAAAAAGTGCGAAAAAGGGATTAGTGGTCGTGGCTAGTAAAATTACGCTATTATGATTGAAAGAGAAATGTACGAAGACATTTTTTAGCTATCAAGTGATGTACAAAATTTGAAATATATCTATTTAGATTAGGCTTGCTTAGAAACCAGAAATATCACAGCATTATCCATCCCATTTATCCATGATGGCCAAAGTTATCAAGGCCATCCAAATAGTGTTAATTAATTTGATAAATAGGTGGCACCGACCGTTTTATTCTATGTTTTACGATTAATTTCAATTACTAGAAAAATTTCTGAGAAATTCGATAAGTTTTGGTACAATTTGGCATTAAATTTTTTCAAATTTGATTCTTCATTTCAACTACGCTTTATCAGTTCCATGAAAATTTTCATGGATACATGTGATGTGGATAACCACATTTAATCCATGATATCGTTTAAATCTTACATTAATTAAAAATTTTGCAAGACAAAAAGTGATTTTTTAATAAAATTCAAAACATTTAAATGGGTGAAGTTAGCATATTTAATTATCAAAACTAATAAAGATGATTTGCATTAGAAAAAAGAAGAAAACCAAGAAAATAAGGTAGTGATTAGTTAAACACGCAAATAATTGAACAATTAATATGATGAAAAACGAAACGAAATTTTTTTTTAGAAGCATCAGTGTAGAATTTTTTTTTTCTTTTCATAAATATATCAAAGGGATTGTTAGATCTGTTCAACAGTAATATATTAAATAAATTGCTGTTTGATTTTTTTTTTTGACAAATTTTAGTATATTAATTTTCATAATGATTAGCACACGATCTAATTACATCTAACCTTAGATTATAAATTATTCCATTTAACAGAATTATTTTTCAAAAAATGAAAAAAAAGGAAAAGTGTAAATTGCTGCTATATTAGCAATAGGCAATATAATTTTATTACTGCTTAAAAGCATTGAAATGAAATAAAAAGTAAAAATATATACAAATGATTTGATACGTTCAATAAATTGCCATCAATGTAATTGTAATAGTAAAAAATCTGGAAAGATAGGTTGGATATTAGCTTGGATGAATTCATTTATTGATTACCATGAATTTTATGATAGTTTTATTGGAGGAAGTAAATAAAAATATTCTCTCACTCTACATTTACATATTAATTTTAAATTTGTTGAAATATTCTGAGAAATATTACTTTATAGTTTCATACAGTTCAAATTATCATTTTCATTCAAATATTATCAATATCATCGTTATCAATATCTATGATATTTGGTGAGCATATATCCATTTGTCGAAAATTGTTTTCCCTAAATATTATAAAATTTTCAGTTCTTCTTTTTTTAAAACAACAAATATAGTTTAAATTTTATTGTGACTGATTAATTCAGTATTTAAAAGTTTCAAGTTTGAAAAAATGAAGTGGAATTAAGAATTCTCATCAATTTTCCTTTTCTCATTTATCCCAAACTTTGTATAATTATCTTTTATCTACAATTTCAAATAAATAAAAAGCAATTGCTACTAGTATGCAATGTAAATGAAAAAGTTTAATAGATTTTATTTAAATTTAACGAACAATTTTACAAATTATTTTCCATTTTCACCAATAACAACATTTTGCTTCTTTGTTTGCTTGCTTGCTTATTGTTTTATTAGTGCTATTGTTGTTTTTGTTTGTTGTTGGTGTTTTTCTCTTATAGCATAAATTATTCCTACAATTCCATGACAACTAATAATTTCAATTTAATGTAATAATAAATAATCACTTCTAATTGATAGGATTAAATCTAAAATTTGAATTGTTCCATTCATATATGGTTATTATTTGCCAACTTCGCCACTTCTAATTATTTTAAATATCCGATTACTTATCAGCACTTCTGTCCTCCTAATAATTCTCTTACTTCGTTTCCATTTTTTTTAAAATTTATTTTGTATATTCAAATTTAGTAATTTAAAAACAAATTTTCGATTTATTTCTTCCATTTTTTCGCTGTTATTTGAGGAAACGATTTTTTTCACTGCGTTGTAAAAAACTTTTTTCTTTGAAGTTTTTTCTGATCAAATCGCTTGCAAAAAAAAATCGTTGGAAAATTTAAAAAATGATATAAATAATATATTGAGATTGTCATTTCATTCGTGCTTCAAAATTTGACAAGTAAAATATATATCAAAATTTTTATAATTTGCCTTCTTATAGCATTATTATCAAGGAAATCAAATACCTGAAATAGCAGGTAGAAGTAAAGTAACAAGACTAAAGTAAAATTTCATAGCTAATAGTTACCGCCACAAATGCATTTTGAAATGAAAATATTTGTCAACTTTTTTTGCCTTAAAAAACACTTGAATATTTTGGTATTTAATTGAATAATGTTATTATTTTAAAAAAGAAATTATTTTTATTCTTTACTATCGTTTTTGATCCAAAGATATCATCAAAAAATTGTTATCAGTATTATATAATTATAAATAAATCGTCGTCATCATCATTATTTATTCTTGCAATTATTATTAAAATCATTGTTTAAAATATCATCATTCTTATTCCTGAGAAAAGGATCATTTAAAAAAAGTTTATACATAATACGATAATTGTTTGAAAATGTAGTACTTTTTTAAAAAAATTTTTAAAATTGTCTCGAAATGATTTTAAAAAAAAATTTTTTTTTTGGAAACCAAATTCGAATGGATTTTTTTCTTTTTTTGCTATTTCACATTAATAGTCACTCTCTTGCCCAGAATTCAATTAAATTTAAATTTAAATTTCTAGCCAAATAGTTAAATGTAATGAAAAGCTTAACGAATATCGAATAACACATCTGATAAATCTCTAGGTTGCTAATACCAGATATTAATTAAGAACTGATGGAAATCATATTTAGAATCAGTGATTAGCTTTTTACCCATAAAATGACTACAATTTTTTTAATGCATATAACTTATTATCCATAAAAAGACTACAATAAGTTAGTTCAATAACAAAGAAAGTTATGAATGCTGCAAACTGGTATATTTATTAATTTTAGTATTTCAAAAAAAAATTTATGCTACAATTAAATTA